TTTGGAGTCTCCAAGTAATAGAGACCATCACGGAATTTACCCACGCCAATCAGCTTCCTCGAGGATACATCCTGCAAAACACAGAAGTCCGAAAAAAATATCAGTGTACAATTTAGATCGCTTGTTAAGCGACTAACTGAAAGTAAATTGCACTGGAATTTCGGAATGTATAGAACACGTCTAAGGTGAAGCCCATTGGGTAAGTATAAACTTCCGACAGCATGAACCGGAATCAATTCGCCGTTTGGAATTCTGACTGATGGTTCTGCCACATGACTGACAGTGTCAAAAAGATTAATATTACTACAAGTAATATGTTCAGTAGCTCCGGAATCAATTATCCAAGGGCGAGTATGTGGCAATGTGTATGCCATATTTGCTTGAGCATTAGGAAGGACCCATCTCATAGCTTCATAATTTGTCTTAACGGTGGCATTATTGACTGCCATAGCTAGGAAAATAGGAGAGCTAAAAACTAGAAATTTGATTCCAGGATTTCGGCTCTGATACCATGTTGAAATTAATATAAATTAATTAATATAGAGTATATGAAGAGGAATGTAAAGAGAGAAGAGAATAATGCTTTTTCTTCTTATTATGTGTCATCCGTAGTACATATATATATATATTACGAGGGATACAACTAGCTCATAATAATAATAGGGAGAGGGAGAGTACACATGGTACATTCATAATGCATGCATGGGCCATGCAAGAACGTGAACCCATGTAAATGTGTCTATCTAATAATAATAGAAAATGCTAATAATGGATATATTTAATATTACAATAATATCTCTCAATAGCTGGAACCTGATGAACCGAAATGGCGACTCACTGGCTACTATGGTTTCTTGGAAAGAGGCAGGAGGCGTGATTCATGGGATCTCATCAAACATCTGGCTCTCATATCAGACATACCATGACTCATGTTAGGGGACTTCAATGATTTACTCTTTGATTCTGAACGAAGAGGTACACTACCACAACCACCGTGGTTGATGCACGGATTCCTAGAGGCGGTCCATAGTAGTGGTCTTCTGAATATTCCCTTTGAAGGATACACCAGTGGACATGGGAGAGAGGAAAAGGAACACCAAACTAGATCGGGAAATATCAGATAGGATCCAGGCAAATGAAGAATGGAAGTATATCTTTGAGGACTATCAAGCAACTTCCTTCAAGGGCCCGTCGAGTGATCATTTAATGCTGCACATCCGACTGATCAAACAAGGGAGTAGAAGAGGGGAAAATTATTTAGATTTGAAAATTGTTGGTTACAGGAGGAGTGCAGGGAGGTTGTCAAGTGATACTGGTCTAACTCTGGCGTGTAGTAATTCGGCAGCGACTTTTGGATTGTGGAATTGAATTGGATTTATGAAGCATCTTCGAGTTGCCTTCTAGGCCAGAATTGAAGTTTGTAAAAAAAGATTCGCCAATCTGAGTGAGGAAGGGGTAGATAGAATGCAGCTGACTTCCACAAGATAAAAATGTGTTATTGGATCTTTTAGAGAAACAAAACATTTTTAGGAAGCAACAGGCCAAGGAATTTTGGCTCAGGGATGTGGAGATGAATAGAATATTTTTTCACAATGCTGTCAAACAAAGGAGAATGAGAAATAGGACGAAGGGTCTACTGCTTCTGGACGGAACATGGGAGAAGGGCAAATACTGTATGGGGTCAATGATTAAAGACTTCTACACAAATCTATTCACGGCTAGTACCACCGCGACAGATGAATTGAAGGCAGTTTGCCTGGTCTATCTCAGGTAAGTTTGACTCAAAACCGTGATTTAATACGTCCAATTCCAACATTAGAAGTTAAAAAAGCAGTTTTTATATGCATCCGGATAAATCTCTGGGACTTGATGACTTGAATCCTGGATATTATCAACATTAATGGGATATTTTGGGTGAGGATATTGTTACATATTGTCAAGAGCTTTTTTCCAACGGTGTCATTCCTAAGGAAATTAATGACATACATTTAATCTTAATTCCTAAAAAAGAAAAGCCTGAAGTTGTGGGAGATTGGAGACCACTTGCGCTTTGTAATGTTCTGTTGAAAATATTCACTAAAGTCCTGGCTAACCACTTAAAAGAGATTTTGAATCATAAGACGACTGCTAGGTCATCTTTCTTTTTTGTTTTCAACCACTCTTGTCACCGAAAAGTCCACCGGAAAAGTGTCATTAACGAAATCATTTTTAGAAAATAATTCAAACATATCTGAAAAATCCAAAGGCAAAGGTGGTTTGGAGGCCACATCTTGACGAGGCGCACCTTTCAGAATTTTTCTTTTAATTTTCCGAGCACTTTTGAAAATCGGAGTTAATTTTAACGGCCTTTTTCAGACGTTTTTAACGGCGTGACCCTCTAGCTTGTGATAACGGAATTCAAACACATGAACCACTTTGATAAAGAGTGAAACACATGACCCTATTTGAAAATGGGCCCAACCACAAGTACTTTTTCCATACTTTTCCCTTTGATTTGTCCACCCATATTATGTTGTAATCCTAGGAAAGAAGTATATAAAGGTGCCACCTTGGGTTGGGGGCACCCTTGAGGTGGAAATCGACAACCTATATCGGAGAGGTGGTTGCAGGTGGTAGCCACACTAGCAGAGCTCATTGGAGTGCAGCGGGAACAAAAGCAGCGTTGGGGGTTCGGGAAGCCTTGGGATGGATAAAAACCCAAGGGTGGACAAGGGTCAAAGTGGAAACACATTCACTGGTAGTGGCCTCAAACATTACGGAAAGGGAGGGGAGGCTTATCTTGATACTATTATCGATGATATTAGACACATTCTTCGCACTGAAGCTAGTTTAGAAAGTCATTCATTGTAAACGATCCGCGAACAGAGTGACTCATACATTGGCAAGAGCTGCTCTTTGAATGTCGGATGAAAGTACGAATTTTATTTTTGCACCTGATTGTATTGTACTCCACTTGGACAATGATAAGGTGTATTAATAAAATGCCAGTTTTCCTTTAAAAACACCAAATTTGATTTATCCACCCATATTATGTTGTAATCCTAGGAAAGAAGTATATAAAGGTGCCAAGGTGGGTTGGGAGCACCCTTGAGGTGGAAATAAAAAACCTATATTCACAATAGAAAGCGAAGATGTAACACATCTCAAGACTACTCCCATGCAAGCACGCTTAACTTTGGAGTTCTTAGCAGATGAACTCCCTTAAAAGGAGATGCATGCACCTTGTTGGTATGAGTAGTACTATTAATCCATTTAAATTAAACTCAAAAGTGTTACAGAAAATATGCGCCACCAGCTTGCTTGCCGAAGTAACAAAAGAGGCGGGGCCCTCAAAAAATAAAAATCCCAATATTTTTTAAAACTTATTAACTTCTTTAATTGTATTCTAATTTTTATAAAAAAAATATCCAAGTTCATAACTTTTGAAGATATTTCATATGACATCAATATCATACATGTAAATTTTAAAAAATATACTACGTATAAAGTTTTATCTGATCATGATTTTTAGATCTAAAGTTTTTCTTAAGTAGATCCAAGTGTTAAGAGTTAAGATTTCATAGTCAATTTTTTATACATGTTTTAGTAATTTATTCCAAAAAAGAAAACCGAAATTAATTTAACAACAAAAATTAATTTCAAATTTATTTATTTTTACAGAATGCTATATTGAAAAAAGAATATATTGACAATTATGATTGCAGAAAAAAATTGACAGAATGGATACATAAAAATTGGTGGAAAAATTTATTTTTGACAGAGATGATTGCGGTTATCATTAGTAAAATAAAAGGAACCCTATGGAGGCCCCCTCCCCTAGATAATCGATAAACTTAACCCAAACCATTTTCTTTGAAAACTGTAAATGAAAATCTAATTGGGTCAAAACTTTCTAAAATTACACCTATTTAAATGTCATGTTATTTACCTCGGACTATATAGTAGAAGTATTTAAATATGTTTATTTCCTTTAAATTTTCTTCTTTCATAATCTACTGGGGCGGAATATGGGATAGACACAGCTAGAAACTAGTCTTTTGTAAATGGGCCTAGTCTGGATTGGGCTTCAACCGTTGGTTCTGATTTTGTTAACATCTGAATTTTGGTCTAATAATTTCAGGGTAATTTTATTTTAAATTTTGATCCGACCTCTGATTCCATTCAATGTTACACAAAACCTATAAAAATAAGGAGGATTTGGATTTTTCATCTCTGTTTCATAATTATTAATATGTGCACCCGTTTGTAAAAAAATGTGCAATATAAAATATGACTTAAGGTCCCAAATTGCTTTATTATTATTATTATTATTATTATTATTATTATTATTATTATTATTATTATTATTATTATTATTATTATTATTATTATTATTATTATTATTATTATTATTATTATTATTATTATTATTATTATTATTATTATTATTATTATTATTATTATTATTATTATTATTATTATTATTATTATTATTATTATTATTATTATTATTATTATTATTATTATTATTATTATTATTATTATTATTATTATTATTATTATTATTATTATTATTATTATTATTATTATTATTATTATTATTATTATTATTATTATTATTATTATTATTATTATTATTATTATTATTATTATTATTATTATTATTATTATTATTATTATTATTATTATTATTATTATTATTATTATTATTATTATTATTATTATTATTATTATTATTATTATTATTATTATTATTATTATTATTATTATTATTATTATTATTATTATTATTATTATTATTATTATTATTATTATTATTATTATTATTATTATTATTATTATTATTATTATTATTATTATTATTATTATTATTATTATTATTATTATTATTATTATTATTATTATTATTATTATTATTATTATTATTATTATTATTATTATTATTATTATTATTATTATTATTATTATTATTATTATTATTATTATTATTATTATTATTATTCACAGAGGGCCTTAGCAATGGTGTACGGTTCACAGTGTCCGACGTATACGCTTACGGTTATATAATGCTGAGCTTGATATCCAAGAGACTCACTACAATAGAGGGCCTTAGCAATGAGGAGCCCCTTGTGTCTGAATGGGCATTTGAAGAATGTGAGAAACAAATGTGCAAGGGAGGCAGTTGCTCACTTGTGGATGTCAGCCTGAAGACGCATGATGGTTTCAATCACAATGATGGAGTTCAACTTACAAAGTTGGGGTTGGAGTGTATAAATTCGGAGGGGTTTAAACGTCCTACAATGAAGCAAGTTGTGAAGCGCCTACTCAACTTGCGTGTCCTACGCACTCATCACCAAGAACTAGGAATCAAGCACAAGTAGCAGAAGAAGCATTAGCAGTGATTTTAGTGAGATCTTATGTTCAGAGTAGTGGGGCTTTAGTTTCAGGCTGTTTAATTATCTAATTTACTGCTTCTTTAAACTAGGTACTCTTCCCAACAAATTACCAGCAGGTTATTAATCTGTCTTGTTCATCTTCTTAGTGTCTTGTTCGTAGTGGGGCTTTAGTTCATGCTATTGAATTATCTAATTTACTGCTTCTTTAAACTAGGTACTCTTCCAAGCCGTACAAAGTAGGTACTCTTCTAGGCCCTAAAAATGAAGATTAACGACTTAAAAGTGTAAATAACATAGGAACTACAAACTACTACGTATTAAGGAGTACTAGATTCTCACCCGTGCGATGCACGGGACAAAATTTAAAAAAACAATGTTGTGTTATATATTTACTATATTGCATAATCACGAATGCCAAAGTTTCATAAAAATACTATGCGTAAATGTAAAAAGTAAAATATGTAGTATAAGGTAATACATAGTATATAATAAATGTCATACAAACCTAGAGCGAGGTGGGGAATAAAGAAAAGAGCGAAAGTGGTAACAATGTTTTGGGAGAAGACAAACATTATAAACAATGAAAGACCTACATTTTGAACCTCTTATTTGTAAATAACATTCGTAGTATATATGATTGCTTTGTTTGTTATTTTCATTATAAATCAATATCTTTAAACATGTACGTTTGTTATTCTCAACATTGCTACATAAAGTTGAGAATGAGTGAATATTGTTTTTTAGAAATATGTGACGAAGATTAACCTTGAATATTATTTAGTTGTGATATGATATAAGAGGACATGATAAAAAATTGTCTTTTCCGAAACATCAACAATATTATCGCACTCGAAGGTGTTAGACTCTTAGAGTCAGGTTCGGCATTACAACTTCCCAACATCATATTTCACAGATAATTAACTTAGCTTTGTATGGAAATAAATGCCCATAGTAGAGTTGATTTTGAATCCTGGTGAGATGCTTCCGAGAGATTCATGGGTTTTCTTTAAACAAAGCACTCTCCAAAATAGTGGTGTAGTAAAATAGTGCTAACACCATATATTGAGCATATAAAGTTATAAACAAAGCCTAGACATCAACGGGTTGGATAACAGTCCGCACTTCAATATGCGCACTTCATAATGGTTTGCTATCTGACCCGTTTTTTTCCCATGACCGATAAATGGTGTTTGAGCATTAGGTATATCTTAAGAAGTTACAATTAGATATTGCATCATCTAAAATTTAAATGAAATAGCTATACTTGAATGATCACTTAAGGACCCAATTAATAAGATAATGTTTTTTGATCATATGCTACGTAGTAGTTCTAACCTTGTCAGCTAATTTTTATCAAACTAGAATTCCATGGAGTAATTTTATGGATTCATATGTGATTCTCTTATAGAGTCACATAGGCTATTGTGACATCACCTCTACCACATATTATTTTAGTGGAGACCTCCACTAAAATAATGTGAGATGTGAATGATGCCATAATAGCCTATGTGATTCAATAAAAGAGTTATGGCTCTGTAATTTTTTTGGAATTCTATGACAATTTGATAGAACCCCTACTTGTCACTGAATTTACCATTTGCATGAATTAGAGACGAAAGAACACTCTGGGATGAAATCTCTGACGTGCTTCGTGATAAATGTGAACGATAATAATTTGTTGGGAGTCGTTGATCAAATGCACCATTTAAATTACCATTAATTTTGTATGACCAAATCAGTGATAAAGTACTTAAAAAGTGAAAATTGCTCAAAGCTTCTTTCAAAACTAATTTTCCCAGACTAATCATTTCATTTCTATCCCTAAATTAATTAATTAATCTAATTAATAGTCGCTTATTCCCTTGCATATATATCAAAGTCCGTCCGTTAGTGGCGACAACAGACTCCAACAGTGGCGCAATCCTCCGGTCAAATTGTATACGACATTTTACACGCCAGTTAAATTATCTGTGTATAAACAATTTATTTCCTTCCGTAAAGAAAATCATTTTTCTCACCGATAAAAAAATGTCTATATCATAGATATTTTTTTGTCTGTGCAAAAAAATCATTTTCTACTAGATGAAAAAAATCCACATAACATCACAATCATCAAAACTATTACTCCTTCCGTATCAAAATTAACTTCTCACTTTCCTTTTCGGGCAGTCCCGAAATTAACTTCACACTTCAAAACTTTTCTTATTAGGCAAATAATCTACATAAAAAAGTGTCAAACAGTGCCAAACAGTGTTTAAACAGTGCAAAATAGTGCACTCCACAGTAAAGTCAAATTTATTTTCTTAATATGTATGAAGTCAAGCTGAGAAGTTAATTTTGGGAGGAGGTAGTAATACAAAAAGAAAAGATAGAAGATTTTTTCATGGCAGAAAAGACAGAAGATTAGATCGTTGGAGATGACGCCTAGAGTTTCCCTAGGAGTCCACAAATTCTATATTCCTATTTGGCTATTTGGATGTGTACTATAACAGGATAATTGGTACGGTGATAATGACATAGTTAGGCGTGTATTAATCTCAAGATAATGTGGTAATTGTTGATTTGTTGATAATGCATAGAGAGTTGATCATTTCCTAAAATTGAGTGAGAAATGGGAGGATAAATTAAAAGAAGACAAATAGAATACGGAGTATTAGATTGTCAATCGATTACAGATTTACTGACAATATGTGTTTAGGGCCTTAGGCTCACTATTCGGCATAGTTTGCTGCTTGCTGTTAGTTTAGGTACGGAGTATGAAAGAAAACAATCTGTTAAATGTTGGTTGGGATTCTTAGCAGATCCAACTAATTACCTCATTAAAACTTCAATGAAATTAGGATCCCGTTTATTAACCCGACTTATCAACCAACTTTTTGATCAAACACATAATATTTGATTTTGCAGCTAGTGTAGAGAATCACTTTAACTATTTTTCATACAATTTTAATTTACTTTATTTATAAAAAATATTTTAAATATAATTTGTTCATAAATCTGTAGAACTAGTCAATCCTATCAGTTCAGCCAGAACTTCATAAATTTCTGTAGAATGATATGATTTTGTCAATTTCAATGTTACCAAACAAGCATTAAAATCGATGCATTCATATTATTGCAGCCAGAACTTTGTCATGTGCAGGCTTCTTTGCGTTTATATATTTTGATAAGTTACAACTGAATAATTTTTTCAAATTCATATACGGGTTTAACTATAATATATAACTAAAAACAACGAGCTTTTGGAAAGCCGGCCCTAGGGGAACCCCATCTCCAACCTCCTTCAAGTTCCGATTTTCAACCTTTTCTTTTTTAATCAGCAAAAAGTTTTGGAACATAGTGACATTCTCTATGCAGTGAAAGATTGAATCAAAGGGTTTTCTTTGCTTTCGCTCATTTTTAATTTCTATTTTCAACGATTTTGGTCCGGCTTCTTCATTGGCCAAGAATTTTGTCCGCTTCATGTGAGCGAGTGGTATGTTATTCTCCTAGCAATGTCTAGAAGTTGTGTGTTTCTAATCAGTGTAATCGATCTGGTGAATTTTCGTTGTTCATGGTTGGTAAAGTTTTTTCAACCTTGTTGTTCCGATGTTTCAAATACTCGTCCACCACCTGAACCACCGCCTCGCTCTGGGAAGAAGAAGATGATCAATTGGATCTCCTTTTCGGTGGCTGGTCAAACCGATGCTTCAGAAAATTTCTGCTCGACTGATTTTCCTTTGTTGGTTGCTGGTCAAACCAATTCTCCCTTTCCGGTGCCTAGTGAAGCCAGATCTTTTAGTTGTAATTTTTTATTTTCTCATTGGAGTAGCAAGAAGAGCAGCAAGGCTGTTAGACTAGACTATATTATTGCGGGGTTAGCGATCTGGAATGATTCATTGAATCTGTTCCGTTCTATGTCTCATCCCATTGTAGCCTTAGACTATTCATTCTCTCGTATCTTTGCTATCGTTTAATATAAATTAATTATTTGATTTTTTGAAAAAAGACTATAATATATAACTTGTTTATGATTACTCCATAGGAAATTGAATCAGATGAAAAATATGGAACACTTTATTTTGTTGAAACAAGAATTCATTTACAAATATTTTATAGATAGAGGTGTTTAATTAATATTCCGTACAAAAAGTAATGATTCTGGTAATTACATTTTCTATTAGAATGAGAAATTCAATCCATTTCTCAATTCACCATAAGAAGGAAACGAGAACTTAGCTTAAATCTATTCGAAATAGTTTTGGGACATTCATAAGAAAAAGTGAAAGCTTCTCGATCTTCCAAATGAAGATAATACTTTACTTATTACACCAAAGCAAACTTTACAATCACATGAATAAATAATACTATCTCCCGCACTTGTGTTTGGTTCGGGTCTAAGGAAAATAAAGGATAAAATGATTGTTTTACACTTCTAACCTTCAAAAGTAAGAAAGAGTAAGACGTGTCCACAAAAAGTAGAGTGTGAAATGATTGATAAATGGATAAAGTTGGAAAGTAAAAAACTAGTGGAGTCCAATTTAGAAAAGTGATCATTTTTTGGGACAAACCAAAAAGAAAAGTGTATCTTACAAAATGGGACGAAGGGATTAATGACTTGTTCATAATGTACACATGTCGGATATGACCAGCCACTGAAAAGGAGACACAATTGAACACTAACTTTCTCTCAAAGTGAGACGGTAATTCAGGAGGAGGACAAATAGTTGAAACTTCTGAAGAACCGGTTGAATTCGCCTTGCCAAGGAACAATGAAATTTCACCACTCGATCGATAACACCAACGAGGAATACACAACCTCTAGACATTGCCAAGAAAAGAACAAATCATATACTCATCTTAAACGAACATAACTCTCGACCAAAGAAGATGCCAAACCAAAACCCTAAATGGTAGAAATAAAAAGAGAGAGACAACATAGCAAGGAAAATGTTTTTTGTACACACGGTACCAAATTGTACAAGACATTTTACACGCT